ATATGTTATTTTTGTCAATAATATTTTGCCCACTTGGCGTTGAGGCATCGCTTAAGCGTCAAAAGTAGAGGCTCTGTCGCTAGCCTAGTGCTCGCCTCTCGATTGAGCAACAACCTCTATATATAGTTGAATTGCATCGTATAGAATCTGAAGTCACTTTTTCGAATCCCATTTTCTTCCTTCTCACTTTTATCTCAAAATCCGTCTCACCCAAGTATAATTTGGCATCCCATCAATAAATTGAAGTATTTGCATCATTCATAGCAACTCCTAACATCTCTAAACTCCGAATTTCATCAAATTAAAGGTAAAAATCGCGAAGCCCTAATTTTCTTCTCTTGAAATTTTTGGGATTTTTGATTTATTTTTTATTCTTGCATCAATTCATATATCTACACTGTATGTTTAGGAAACTATAATATGTTCTCATGGCTCATTGTATATTTGTTTCAAAAAATTTCGGGTTTAAAGCTAAAACTCGCGTTTTTGGAGATTTTTCTTGATTTTGGATTCGTTGTTAATGGAGGATGGGACATGATTTAGATGTTGGTTTGATCGTGTGGTACCATGGATCGAAAGCTTCTTTACATTAAGAAATTATTACCGCACGTTACGCATTCTATAAAATGTCACATTAACATTCTTCAGCGATTATTGAAGTCATATTTGATGAACACATCATATTCACTCACATTAACACATTTTGGTCCTTACATTTCCCATTTGGCATGTTTTTGCTTTGAATTTGACTTTGACACAATACCACACATAATTGTCCTCCGTTCACCCGACGTCAGTCACCATGTCATAACATCAAGGCACTGCGTTACGTAGTCAAGGCATCGTGACACCTCCATCCTTGCATCGCATAGCCTTTGGCCATGACTCGCGTCACTTAATTAGTCACCTATGTTCATAGGTTATCTAACTTGAATTTTCATCTTCTGTGCTTTAGACATGTTTTTGCATCATTGTACGTGCATTTGCTTGTTTTGCATTGATTTTCATGCATATGACATGTTTGTCTTGATTTCGATGCATGTGGACTATTTTTGCATTATTTAGAATGCATACTGGTTTTTACTTCATTTCACGTGCATTCATTCATATCATTAGTTAGTTTTGCAACGAGGTACATAGTATCCTTAGTTGCATCTATTGATGTGTTTGTATTGCACGCTGATCACAGATGCCGCCTAAGAGAGCGAGGACTACTGTACAAATATCTAGTACTTCGACTTCTTATAGTAGGTCTTGTTTCATCTCTTCTACTGCCTGAATGTCTTTGGGATTTAGTTTTCCTTGCGTCACGTTCTATTAGAACATGAGATAATACTTTCTGATCTTACCCCCGACATTGCTGGCATCTTTGCTTCACGTGGATGGGAGACTTGTTAACTTGTCGTCTGCACCTAGTCTCCTTGTCCTGGAGATCTATGCTAATATTCTCGATATTATGGTCGAGTTTAAGGTCTTTCTTAGGGGTAAGACACTAAAGATCACTTTAGATGTCATATCTACTATCGTTCACGTTTTCTGGGTTATACATCCTTTATTTCCCTATCTATGTGCTGAGACTGTTCATTCTGGCTCTCTTGTCAGATCAACTATTTTTAACAGTCCCTTGGAAGGGGGTCCGACTGCGATCTATACTGCTTAGCTAGATTAAATTTTTATGTTTCGTGTTATCGATGTTTATTTTTGGTATATTGATTTACATTGGTATTTGATCTTAATTTAACTGGCATTATTATGAGCTTATTGATATCTATCTCAATTTTTTATTTCCTTTACCATTTCACGAGTTTTTATACTTGGTATTTGAGTTGTTGACTTCAAGAAGTAGGTTTGACAAGGAAAAAGCAAGCTACAGTTGAGTTAGTTGGTTTGGGTAGATTAGTTTGGTTGTCTTTGATATATACTACTTATTTTTGTCACATAATGTCAAATGGGGAGTTTGTTAGATTTTAAAGTTGTTAACAATCTTTAAACAAAAATATAGTTATAAAAGAGTTTTAAAAGTCAGAGTCTATTGGTAGGTTGTATAGATGAACTATGAGACCTTGAGTTCGGTTATGGACAAGAAGAAAAAGTTGTCAGATTTATGCTAGCCTCCGCCAAGTCGATGCTTAGGCATCCAAAATAGAATCAAGGTCGTCCGTCGTAGCTCGAGCAACACACCTATAGCTCACATGATCCTATCATGGCATTCTAGCAACAACGTTTCTCGTGAAACTCTAGTTCGTGATTTTCGAGAGTTCTATCTTTCCCATACTACCCCAAAAACTAGATGCTATATATACCCAAGCATCACGTTGTAAATAAGGTGTAAATAAGGTTGGTTGAACATTGTTTTATAAGAGAGAACACATCTTAATTCACATAATCAAAATACCAAAACTCATACTTCTTCATAATCTGTCAGAATTTTGAAGATTAAGAAAGGTGACTGGAGTTCCGGTTAGATGAAAATGAGGGGTTCTCACGTGATCCACAAGAGATAAATGATTCTAGAAGGTCGAGAGCTGGTACAAGAGTGCGCAGTACAAGAGAGCGTTGGTGATTACAGTCAGGATGTCAGAAAGTATTAAGATTTAGTCGAGTCTGACCAGTTTGTAAGTCTTTATCGTTTATAGTGGATACTATTGACTTGGGCCCAGAGTTTTTTTTTTTTATCTCGAGAGGGGTTTTCGCTTTCATCAATTTTGTGGTGTTATTTACTTTTTTGCAATATATAAACAGCGTAATTCAACCTAAGATAGTATTGCATGTGAATTCATCTGGAAAAATTAATAATTGTGATTTTTTGTTTTTATTAATTGATAAATTTTAATTCCGCATAAAATACTTATTCACCCCCAAGTGTTAGTTAGGTTGAATGTCGTTATTTTCAAACTGGAACCACATTTTCTAACCTACGACCGACCGACCGAGAAGCCTTGTGCTATGGCTATACCTAGTTTTATTCTTGATCTACCAAAAAAGTCCAATTATTCCTCCTACATCAATATCACTTGCAGCACCTACATTTACCAACAATGAGACAATGCACTTAATAGCTTGTTGTCTTTCTTCCCTTGTGCATGAAGATTGTTGTATGTAAAGGGAGATCTTCTAACTTAAGGCGGAAAGTAAGACTCTTGACATTACCTACATCAGCGGTCATATGAGCAGACGCACCAATATAAATACACGAGTTGGGATCCTACAAATAGAAAAGAATACTTTCAAGTCCTATTTTGAAGGGGCGAAATCCTACGAAGTAGGATCTTATCCCAATTTCGCCTTTTACTACGCCCATAACCAAAAACTCGCTTCTTATGATTACGAGCTTTAGACCAACTTGGGATTTGCGATTCTAAGTAAGATTGATTCAGAATCATGTGATCCTCTCTATGGACATGCCATCCAGCGTAACCATGCCCGTCTCTTGGAGCAAATTGAGTGATGATTTTTTATGAATATGCCGACAATGATAGGTGGTTCTTTTTTGTTACAACCTGACACAACAAAGAAGCATTCTTTTGCTTTAAAGGAAATATCTAATAAGAATATTGTGTTGGCTTTGAGGACCAAGATTTTCGAGATCTTTAAAGAACTAAGTATTCTTTCTTGGTTTCTTTGAAAGAACAAGGGGTTAGAGAAAGAAAAAGTGCACCTGAATAGACCAAGAAAGGCATTCTGGAATCAGAGGATCCATAGTACCTACAACTTCTTAGACTTAATATTCATCACTTTTGAAAGAAAAGCTCCACAGAGACAGCCATTCATTAAACATTTGGTAATTGGAGACGGAGAATCGTTTAAAGGCCTTTTCAAAAGCATCTTTTGAGTGAATTCCTTGGATTTCTCTTGACGTAATACAAAAGATAACTTTTGAGAGTCAAAACAATGCATTTCTTTATCAAATTATTGCTTGGAAACAAATGAATATTAAAGGAGTTTATTTGAAAGAATGAATGACATTCCGCAACTACATTTTTTTACGTATGATCAATCATATTTTTTTCTAATGAACAAACATTCTCAACTCGTAAAGAAAATGTGAGGTTTGACACGATTTGTACCGAATAGACTACTGTTTCTAACAGTTTTCTAATTTTTCTATGATTTACATTTTGAATACTTCTAAAAATAGTATACTCAGACCAAGAGCTCGTAGAGTTGGGCCCGATTGAGCTACCTCTCCAAACAATTTCTGCCCACTATACCATTCAAGATGAATAATATTAAGATCACAGGGTTAATATTGTAGATTTTCATATCTAAACGGTAATATATGACATTAGATAATGTGCATGTTTGGATCCAATGAAAGGATGAATCCCATAAAATGCATGTATTAAAGTGTGTGTAGTTGTGAATGTGTGAATAAAATAAAATTTTGACTTAAAATTATAATTAACTTAGCTCCTGTTTGATAGTACTTATTTGAAAAAAAATAGTATTTTGAATATTGATTTTTAGAAGAATGTGCGATAAAAAAATAGGGAAAAAAATTGAGTTTGTATGTATAATATTTTATTATGTAAATGTGTGGTTGAAAAATGAGCATGTAAAAAAAAGTTTTCAAATAACGGCCAAAGGGGTTTAAAAGAAATAGTTAAGGGGTCTAAAATGTTATTTCTTTCCCGAATAACTATGCCCCCTCTTGCCACAGCACCGTTCCTCACCGGGGCTACAACTACACACACTGATGGTACACAGCAACACACTCGCACAGAAAATTGAAAACATTCACAGATAAAAGATTTCTGAGAAATGGTTATAATCCATCAAATTCCAAGACTCCATTTTTTGCACATACCTTCCGCCCTCACAACCTGCAAACCCAAAAAACTTTATCTAATCACCTGTACCATCTTATCCAGTCCAAACCCGGTAACCATACCCATATCCGAATCCGGACCCGCATCCTTTTCTCACTTCTTAACAAGTATCACTTCTTAACAAGTAGCAGTCAATCACCACCCCAAGAAAACATACAATTGTCTCTTGAAATGCTGTTTGTGCCGCCGGAAACGGAGGTTTCACTGCCGGAAAATGGGATATTGAGTGCAAGAATATTGAAGGGATCGAATATTGTGCTGAGCAAGTATGCTGGAGGTGGTGCGGAAGTGGTGAATGCGGAGTTTGTGAAGAGCAGTGTGAAAACTGAGGAATGCCCCTCTGATGGGCTCCCGGAATTTGCTCTTGTGGGAGGGTCCAATGTGGGGAAATCGTCGCTGCTTAACTCCCTCGTCAGGCGCAAACGCCTCGCACTCACCTCCAAGAAGCCTGGTATACACATTATATACATATACACTACGATGCACATGAACTCCTATTAGTACGTGTATCCAATAAGTCATATTCTTCCATTTCTTGACACTCTAGGATACTTTATAGACGGCCGTCAACAATTGTCAGACACGACGTGCAATGTCCTGTATCAAAAGTTATGAAAATAAAGATATAAATTTTAAATTTTAATAACCTGTCCCCAACATTCGGTGTTCTTTTTTTTTTTTTTCAAAAAATCACGTATGTAGTTTAAATGTGTATGTATGCAAGTTTTAGTTGATGTTAGTGCTATATGAGTGAAGAATTGGTTGTTTGGGTATCTTGGAGAGATTGTATATGGTTACTGGATTTGTTTCAGTATGAAAAGATGTAATTTTATTGCCACGGTTTCAATGAATTTGAGGTTGAATGGATCAAATTTTGGGAAGGAACCTTTTATTTATTTATTATTTTTGGTGGGAGTTGTGGCAATACTGTGCCCAATAAAGCTAACTTGTGGATATTACTTGTGCTTTTATTGATTACTTGGACTTAACATGAGCTATGCTCATGGTACAAGAAAGAGACAAAGAGGTGGGATTTGGGGGAAAGAAACTAAATTATGGTTATTAAGATAAGTTTACTACTTTCCAAGATGTTAATATGCATGACATAATTTTATTGATAAATATATTTCTCGAACATTGCCTCAGGGCGTTGACCTGTTAATTCCTGTTGATACGCTTTATAAGCTAGTTTTCTAGCTTAAGTTACTGTCTGCAACTTCAGGCAAACTTATTATACCCCTGTAAAAAGAAAGAAAAGAGAGAAAAATTCAACAAGTCCTTAAAGCCTGTGATTGGTTTCTCGGATTTCGAATGATCGACCTATTACAAATCCAAGAATTCAAAACCATAATGACTCAAAAATTTTAGCATGCATTTTGGTTTTAGTGTGACTCATCTATTTGCATAGATTTGCTTCTAGTTGAACAAGAACATTTGAGGAGGGAGGGCATGGGGATAACCCCCTTGGCCCTCCCCATCCCTCAGCTTCTGAAAAGACTAGCTAAATAAAAGGGGTTAAAAATGCTGATTTATTGTTGGAACTATTGTTTTTTTTCTTTTTTTGGTATAATATTGTGATTGTGTGAAGGTACTGGAATTACAAGAAAGTGACTATCATTGAAATCATTAAGGTTGTATTTTGCACACTAGATAAGAATTTACTATAAAGTTATAATGGATAGTATTAGATAGAGGGTATTATGGTGAATTAATGTGGATAGTATTGTTTCATTTTACATTAAAAGAATATCATTACCATACACTTTCTTATTCGATCTAGATTCATCTGACTTTGGTATTATGTTATACGGTTGATAGTGCAAATGACTCTCTTTTAAATGGAAAATAGAATACTATCCACCGTAATTTACCATAATACCATCCGTTATATTTTTATACTAAATTCTTTATACGGTCTCACCTAATGCTCCAAACACACCCTTGCTGTTTACAATGTATTTTAGAATATTGAGTTTTTGAAAGTGAGAGGGATAAGAAGAGTCGTGTTAAGTTTTTTCGGGTGGGTTGGTTTGCAGTTGGTATACTGTGCTCCAAGAATAGATATTGAGCAACTATGAAAAGTTTATACAGAAGAAAAACAACCAAGGAATAAGATCTGCAGGATGGTTTCGGAAGAAAACAGCAACCTGATATATCTTTGCCAAGAATGGTGGTATTCAATATTTAGGATGGAAGGGATTTGAATATCAGGGGTTGAGAATATAATGAAGTGATTTTGGCTCACATTGGTTGAGTTTGTCAGGTTATGATTAGTAAATGATTGGTCAGGATGGTTATAGAGCAAGTATAGACAGAGCTAATAAATTGAGTTGAAAACAAAGAAATTATACTCTGTGACTGAAATTTCACTACCTTGTGATAACCACAAGTGAATTTGTTTAATAACATTAGGTACAATTCAATGCTATATTTATCATTTAAGTAAGCCCATGTTTGGTTTAGATAAAAATCAGATTTTTAGTAAATTTTGATAAAAGTTGATAGAACCTGTGATTGAAAAGTTGTGGGTCCCATGAAATGTGTGGTTAAAATTAATTGTTCACTTTCACTTAGATTTTAATTTACTTTTTAACTGAACCAAATAGGGGCCAAATACATGAAGTTTTATTTAAGTTAATTCATCTTAGCTCTTTTGAAGTACTTAAATATTAACTATAAAAATTTTCTCAAGAACAAAGGAAATGAAAATTTTTTTGGTTGATGCATTGTTCTCCATGAAAATGAATTTATTTGTGAAAATAAAGTTTTTTGGTGTTTCTATTTGCAGGGAAGACACAATGCATCAACCATTTTCGCATCAATGATAGCTGGTGCCTTGTGGATTTGCCTGGCTATGGGTAATGACTTGACTCTAAACTCTGTCCGCCGATTTTGTTTGAGTTCAATGGGATGGATACTCTTTCATTGAAAAAATGGAAAAACTAGAAACTATCTGCATAATTAGAGTTATTTACAGTACATTGACGTACTTCCTTAATGGAAATCAAGTTTCTCAAGAAAAAACAATTCAGCCAGAATGGGGGCATTGAAATGTATGAATGGAGTGCAACTTTCAAAAGTATTTTTAATTTGTGTTCGTTGTGAATTGACTTGATGATATCTATCTGGATGGAAAGATTATGCACAGGTTTGGCTAATGTTTATAAATTGTTTATAATCGATCAAACCACTTTTTATTTACACATTTCGTGGAACCCACAAGTAGTACCTACTTTGATCATTCATTTCTATCTGTTTATAATTTAAACTGTTTATAAACAGTTCCTATACATGTGCTATATTTATTATTTAGGACTAAAGAATTATACTTCTTGGTGGTAAATGGTCTCTTTTATCCACCACTTCTGAATTTTTTCTTTATTCGTATTAAATAATACTATTAGCACAAGAGAAGAAAGAATGCAGAAGTAAAGAATGTGCAAGATTTTTTAGTAGGGAAAAATGGCATGTTTTTTCTGCTGAAAGCGCTATGAGGGTCAATAAATAAGGATCGGTCAAATGCGAACACCAATTTAAATGTGGCACCAAGTGCTATTGTATAATTTGTATTCGTAAAATGTGGTTTCTTACTTTTTGATGTAGAGCTTATATGTTTATTTCATTTGCCTTGACTCTGGTAAGACTACCAAATGCATTGTTTATTCTTGTTTTATGTTGACTTAAGCTTGAACGATACGATGACTGAAATGAAATTTAATTAGACCTCTTTTCACAGCAGGAGTCTGATATAGGTCTAATTTATTTTTGCCGCCTGATGCCGAAAGACTTCTTTTCTAATTTTTAATCTTTGAACCAATGAGGTTATGAACTTTCTATTAAATTATTTTTATTTGATTGCTGAGACTTCTGAAAATTCATCTTTTATGTAATTTGACTACCTTGTGTGCTTCCAAGTCATATTAATTTTTAGGATTTAATTATTTTCCGGGAATTGAATAGGTATGCAGCTGCACCACACGAGCTTCGAACAGACTGGAACAAATTCACGAAAGACTATTTCTTAAACCGGCCTACTCTTGTCTCTGTATTCCTTCTAATTGATGCTAGCATTCCTGCAAAAAAGATTGATCTCGAGTATGCAAGTTGGTTGGGCCAAAACCAGGTAATTAATTCCCTTTTATTTACTTTCAAAGAAATCTAACGTAGTCAGGCTTGAAGCAAACAATCTGAAGGAATTCAGATGAGATATCTCTTGAATGCCTGCCTATTATTTATTCATAAACAGCATTTTAGATGGTGTTAGCACGTTTGGCTAAGCTTAAAATCCAGTTAAAATTACTTTTAAATAGCTTTCTCAGTCCAATCATGCTGGAATATTCTCTCATTACTTCAAATAAGAAAGTTACTTATTTTGAAAGTAATTGTTGTGTTACCTAGTTTCATTTTCAATCAATTAAAAGATTCCTTATATTGAAACTTTCTTATTTCTTGTACATGAAATTTTTAATGTCCATTTGTTTCTTTCTTCTTACTTTAAGGTGAAATCTCCATTGCCAGTGTCATGGTCTCCAAGTGACTCTCCTTTTGCATTTGATAATTCATTGATCTAAATTCTAACATCATTTATTTTCTTTTGGGATTGAAATCTATTTTCTTCCTCGGTTACTGGTGTCATTTTCTCCCACTGGTTTAGATTCCTATGACTTTAATATTCACCAAGTGTGATAAGCGGAAGAAGAAAAAGAATGGAGGAAAAAGACCTGAAGAAAATGTGCAAGACTTTCAAGAGTTGATACGCGACTTCTTCCAGACAGCACCACCTTGGGTTATGACAAGCAGTGTCACAAATCAGGGTCGAGACGAGATACTGTTGCATATGTCTCAGCTACGAAACTACTGGCTCAAGCATTAAACGATTGCATCCCCCACTTCATCACACTAATATTTTGAGATTGACTGGCAATATGTCCACCCCAGATTGAGTTCGAATCTTTAATTTTGGAGAAATTATTATGCCCCCGTTGGGTTTTGCTAAAAATCAGGTTTTTAGTAGATTTTGATAAAAGTCGATGAAATGTGCGGTTGTAAAGTTGGTGAAAGTTGTGGTGGGGCCCATGAAATATGGGGTTAAAATTAATGGTGACTTTGACTTAGATGGAGCTATAGCTGCAAATTGTTGTTGGCTGTAATTTCGTGTCTTCCATAACCTTGTGATGCTGCAGCAGCGCACTTCTTTCTTGGAGGTGCTTGAGTACCTAACAATTACAGGTAAATAGCAAATCTAAATTATACTTGACATACTTCCACATAATAAGCAAAATATTCTTGAGAATTTAAAATGTTTGACAGTTGTATTGTGTTAGGTTTTGTTTTTCATCTTTTTGAAATAGAATTATTTATTAGTAAATCAGTAAAAGAAATAGAAATATATAAATTTTTAAAAATTTAGGGGTCTTGCAGAAATTTGGGGCCTTAGGGTACCACCTAGATTAGCTAATGGTCGAGACGGTTCTGACTCAATTGCATGGTACTGATCAAATACTTTAGTCGTTGCGCCTTATCTTCTCACCCCTTCTAGTGCAAAAGGACTTTAATCTTAGCATATGTTTGTAAATCATTTTTAGTGCCAAAAAAATTACTTATATTATTTAGCTTCTATTCGAATTACATTTTTCAAAAATTACATTTTTTTTCAATTCATATTTTCAATCATACATTCTTTTGATAAAATAATTTTACATGTAAATTCAATTTTTTTTCCTACTCTATAATCATACATTCTCCAAAAAAAATCACTATTCCAAAATTTTATTTTTTCAAAAAATGGGGTTCAAATAAACCTTTAGCCACGGTAAAATTTTAATTTCAATTACACACTCAAAATTATTGTTCATCATATCCACAAATTTCTTGGTTCCTCCTAAAAAGTTTTTAAAAGTTACTAATGATCAAATCCGAAGAGAGGCTTAGATTGAAAAATATCAGCTTGAACTAGCCATATTGACTTAAAAGGTCAGCCCATTATCTGTCGGATCTTTATGATTATACTCAGGGGGCGGACGCAGAGTTTTAAAGTTAGGGGGACACAATCAAACTTGCAAAAAAAGTTGGGAGAAGTTTTACAATAGAAAATTTACATCCAAAAAAATCATACCTAGTGTAATTTTGCATTCGAAAATTTACATGGGATATAAGTTTTTTGGATGTAAAATTTCGAAAATTTTTGATGTTATATTTCATATAAAATTTCCTAATAAAATGATGAAAATTATATTGAGAAATTTGTATCGCAAAAATAATAAATGTTAATGAAATAATTGATTTTTTTTTAAAAAAGCGAGTTAGACGTATTTTTTTAAGANATGACATAAGCAATTTGTAGATTCGATTAACGTACGATCGTTGGAAATTTTTAAAATTTATTGTGATTTTGGTGGAGATTAAAATCAAATTTTTAGTAAATTTTGATAAAAGTTAAAACAGTTATGAATTTCATGAAATATGTTATTAAAATTAATTGTTAACTTTGATTTAGATTAAAATTTAGATTTCAATCGATATCAAACATGACTTTTAAAAAAAAAAAAAATTCTCAAAAGTTTGGGGGCACGTGCCCCCAGGACTAAGGGCGGACCCAGCACCTGGCCAGCCTCCGCGGTCGCCCGTGCTGGGTCCGTTGGAAGCTTCAGTCGGCTTGCCGTCCGCCAGGAGAAAGAAGAAGAAGAAGCTGCCGTCTACCTGTTAGTTCCTCTGGTTTTGCTCCCTTTCCTTTGGTTTTAATTGACTGGGCCTTATTTAAAAAAAATAAGGCCCAACTAATGAGCCCAATCCTACAATCCACTAATCAAATAGAAAGTCCAATACCAATTTACCATGGGGAAATTAGGCCCCATACGGTCAAAACATGGCTAATTAG